ATATTAACTTAATTTAATGTAATATAATATTTATTTTTTATACATATGCCAAAAAATTCTTATATTTTCCATTTCTAGGTCAAATATATATAATTATTTGCTTTAACTTTGGGCCTCTTAATTATAAACCTACTTAATAATTTCCCGAATCATATATTTAGTTGGTTTTATTTTTTTATTTTTTTTTTTACTTTATTTTTTGGGTAATTATATATTTTTAACTTTGTTAATTTCTCTGAAAAAAATTTCTAATCAACATCTCCATCTCCATAGAACGGCTAGGTTTTATTTTATTATTATTATTATTATTCAGTTAAAATCAAATTTCAACCAAAAAACTTAATTTGTCATAAATTCAAGATGTTGAATATGATGTATAAATATATGAAATCACAATTTTATTTTTTTCAAGTTGAAGGGTGATACGGATTCTAAATTTTTAAACGTAAATATATCTATATTTATACTTTTTTATGTCAAATGAGACTAAAACTTAAATTATAAGCTCATTATTTAACATTAGAAAACGGGGGGCCTTGCGTGAAATTTCTAGGTTTGTCACTGTAGTATACAGGTTATGAATTGCAAACACAAAGAATTAATGACACGTGACAAATATGTAATTTGGTGTCTTATTCAGCTGACTATTTCTGGAGCACTTCTAGATATATTAACCAAAATTGTGACAAAAATCTAGGTTTAATTGGTCAAATAAGAGGAAAATCATCCGTCATTAACGAACTACTACACTCTTTAACAATCTAATAATACCAAAAAAAAAGAGCTTACAGTTTAAGTCCAATAACACATAGAAATAAGTTGAATAAATTATGTTTCACTGTGACATCGATCCACAAGGTGTCCCGATAAAAGAGGTTATTAGGAACTCACCTCCAGAAAATTATCTTGCCTGAGGTAATTGCATGTCACGGCTTTTCCAAGCAAGCAAGCTTTTGTTCCAACCGCACGTTTTACCATCCAATATCCCTGTTGTTAGATATAGACATTTGTCAGCAATGACAAGAATGCCAAGTACAGTACCTTAAGAGTTGCATGTTTCAAGGATAAAAGAATAGAACCTCAACAATGCTTGGAATAAGTTTAAATCTTGAATCTCGAAACATGTCAGTGCCATCAATAAACTTTCCCAACAAGGAGTTCTTGTTTACGGGCCTGTCAGCAGCATAATAGAGGACAAGGCTGTAATTGGGTTTGGCTGGTACCTAAAACAAAATAGAAATAAAACCACACAGGATTAAAATCTTTTCGCGAATATCCCCCACTCAAACAGGAAATAATAAATGAAGAAGACATAAAAGATGAAACTAAGTTATCTGTGGAATTTAGAGAATTTCTGTTCCGCCAACTGAAATAAAATTATCTGAGTTTACTACATGTACTTGCAAGGAAGCAACATATGTTTTCTTGCCAAATCCAAACTTATCTGAATAAACATTTGAAAGTTTGTTTCATAACCATAAAAGGTTAAGTATATGGCAAGCAGTAGCTATGTTCTGATCAGTTACATCAGTTATGTGCTTCAGGTACCAACTTTTCTGAGGGAAGTAGAAAAAATTAAAATACATGCTTCTTGATGGTTCTGGATGAAATCAATTAATGCACAGCGCTCCAAGAATACAAAGAAAAACAGAACTTTATAAAACCTAACAAAGAAACAAGAACTAAATAACAGCACGCAAACCTCCAGATTGATGACAAGAATGAATGGGAGATTTTTTCCAGCATCACTCTGCAATTACAGGGAATGAGGTAATGTTAGACAGAATAACGCTGACAAAAGCAACAAACTCTAATCAATGAAGCCGCAATATGGAAAGCAACTAACAGGATGAATCATACATGACTATCTATCTATATCTATACTATTGCGGTTTTGTAAAAACTTAAACAGACTAAAGTCCTTAGGTTTGATATATTTTAATGACAAAATAGTAATTATAAATAAGTATTTTAATATATATAAAACTGCTTAAAATTTGAAGAGAAAAAGGTGATCCAAAAGATGTGAGCACTATATATATTATTGGATCAGATGGATTGATCTTTATCACATCAATGTGATTTCATGTTATGAGATCATTTTGTAGTGTGTTCTTGTTAGGTGGACAAACACTGATAATGAAATGTATTAATAACATTTTAGAAATCAATATATTTTGACGTAAGAAAAGACGATATTTTACAAAGTATGCATTTTAAAAATAAATGGATTTATTAAAAACAAAGTGAACGCACAACTTTAATAGGTTTCAATAAAATAAGAAAGAAAACTTATATGTTTCGAGACATCAAGACAAAATATATGTTTTGAAGTATTCAATAAAATAAGAAAGAAAACTTAGAAAATATATCAAATAATTTAGTACATATGACAATTTTGCCCATTGAATTTATTATACCAAACATCCACTAACTCATACATTCTTCCCAAACACGCGAGTCATTTTACATTTTCTACAATTTTTCTCAATTAATTAATGGGCATTTTTTGCCTAATTTTTCATTTCTAGACATGTGGTAGATTTTTATTACTTAATAGATATTTTTTTGCAATCACAAAAGTTATAAAATTGTTACCTATTGGGCATATTTTGCGAATTCACATAAAATGAAAAAAAAAAAAAAATCAAATGAACAATATTAACTATAAGAATAAAGGTTTGTACACCAAATTTGTCAGGTGCTCTTTATCATTATTTTCAATTCTTATCATTATTTAAAAAATGATATTTCAAATCCCAATACATTTGACATGTTTCCTCATGTAATGTACCTCTTTTGCTTAATTCATTAAAAAATAATCCAAAAAGTTTAACAAAACATAAAACAAAAATAATAATTTCAAATAATATGAATATATATATAAAAATTATGAATCACGTGCATTTTATTAGTAACAAGTAAACAGCTCTACACAACTATTACCATGAAATCAAATATATTCAAGCTAAGCTCAAAAGCACCTTAAATCTGCATGGCTAAAAGACAGAATCAAACCACCAGGAGAAATATGTCCGACATGATAGAAAAACAGTATAGAACTTAGGACGAGAGAATGCCTTACTTAAAGGTGTTTCATTCGAACAGTGGAAAGAGAACATTGAGCTTTTCATAGAAAGATTCAGAAGTTAAAACAGCTTATAGGTTTGCAGTTAAGGTTTTTATGTTTGGTTCTGATAAAATTAAATTTAAAACCTCATATTAGCTTTACCTGTACAAGACTTTTAGGATGCAATGCCACCCTAGTGACACAATCTTCCACTTTGAACCAGTCAACTGCTATTAGTTTTAGAAGAGGTTCTCCACCTTTTACCTGAAAGGAGTTCAAGCAAACACAAGTTTTTGGTTGAATCAGATTGCTGTAACTTGTTAGGTCCATACATAAACAGCTATCAAAGAATAATGACATGGATCCTAGATTTGTTTTCTAAGGAAACCAAAAATCCAAAAATGATCCACAAACAAATGCAGGTCAATCTTGGATATGAAAATAATAGGAACTCTATGACACTGCAGAAGTAAACCAATAACATATCATGAAAAAGAAATCATAAAGAGAGCCTTCATCTGATTAGATTAAGATATGAGCAAGAGCGCATTGTAAATCAGTTTATGGATGTAATATAGTTCCCTGTCAGTACAACACTACAACAAACTGGAACTCTTTAAGGAAACTATTGAATCATTTTTAACTTACCACAGATGACCAGAGATATCAATAAACATAAATTATAATGGAAATTTTCGATTAAGCATAAATCACAACTATTGAATGATGAAATGTATTAATTTACCAGACTAGCACTTATTCTTAAACTTAGCATGCTATAAAATAAAAAAAAAAACGAGTTCTGCATAAGGACATGCAAGTAGACATTTCACCTCCAAGCCTATCATACTAAACTCAAGGAAGAGACTCCAAAATCACCTAAAGGAGGCCCCTTTTTTAAACTAAAAAGTGTTAACGAACCCAGAAACAACTATATTTTAATGTATATGAACCTACCTTCATGCTGTCTTTCAAGTAAGTCTTTCCCCTGATCATGAACCCAGAACCATCCGGACTAGACCAGCAATTTTTATCAGTATCATCTTTTGCTCTCTTCATGGATCCATGAAACTGATTTGGATCAAGACTGACTGGAGACACGCTTGAGTTCAACTCATTTGGTTCCAATTCTGCACATATCAAAAAATGAATCATCGCATGATAATTACAAATTAATAGACCACTATTCTATCAGAAATATAGATGACTTCTTATAAGAGATGCGGAAAAAAAAAAAAAAAAGAGTACCTGAAGCCCGCTTTAAAGCCAAACTTGCTATGGCCCATGAAACATTTTTCAGCTTGATCTTCTTGGTCTGGTGAATGAAAAAGCAAACGTTAACAGTGCCGTGCCGTTTGTTAACCATACATAACTAAGTTTTTACAGCCAAACAAGAAGCAAAAACCTTATTGACTTCAATCTCACTGTCACTATCATCATCTGAGGAGGAGGAATCATCTGCAATAGCATCATAGAACTCGTCTACTGTCTCTGAATCCTCAAACTCACTAAGGGGCCCAGATAGATCAGATCCTTTTGATTGAAGTATTGAGGTAGACGATTCAGATTTGATTGCCGGACTTGCTTCAATGTATTCCTTCAAACCTGAATAAACCATTCAGCCTGAGGCCACAGTTCCTATAAATATAAATGGAGCCCAAGACACATGTTTCACATACTAGTTCTGAAAGTCCAACAGTATACCAACCTGATACTTGGCTCAGTAATGCATAAGGTACCGTCTTCTCAAACTCCTGACTGTTTTTATTCCGCCATTTAAACCAGCCTTTAAGGTTTATCTCTATTGTTTGGGTAACTAGACATCTGGCAGAATTTGACGAGGAAGATGTGCTTAGATTGCTAATTTCCCAAGTTGAAGCTGCAAATCAAAACAAAGCAAGAAAAATTTGAATAAATAACACGGTTCATGACTTCCAGATAGAGCTGAGCATGGGACTCGGAGAATTCCAACCGTTCCGAAAACCGAACTGAAATCACTCCGAACCGAAAAATAACCGTTCACTCCGAACCGTACCGAACCGAAAAAATAATTGGTACGTTCTGAAGTTTTCACAAATATCCGTAACGAAAACTTAACTGAACCATCCCATATCGTACCGAATCGAAGAACCAAAACTAAGAACCGAATTATAACATAAGATATGTGTTATTAATATATTTTATGTCAACTATGATCCTATATAATATGAGATGTATTAATATGTAAATAAAATATAGTAATAACAATTAAGATTCACTTAAATTTCATGCTTAGTAATACTTGATTTACAATTGAATTTTTCCTGTTATAAAAAAATTAAGAAAATACTATATTATATTTTATTTGAATTTTAAATTTTCAATATTAGTTAGTCTTAACTCAAATTTAGAGTATCAAATTAATTTCAAAATAAAATCATTAATATGAGAAAGTATTGATGAATATGTTGGTTTTTTTAAAGCATAAAAAATTAAATAACTAAAACTTTAGAGTTACTTCTAAAGTTGATTTCAAAATAAATCTTCAATAATATGCTGAAGTATTGATGAATGTTGCTTTTTTTCAAAGCATATAAAAAAATTAAAATATAACTAGGTAGTCATTCAAAAAAAATTAAAAAAAAAAAATCTCTTAATATCCGAACCGAACCATTCCAATAGGCCCGAATACCGAACCGAACCGAACCGAACCGAACCGTTCCGATTTTTTGATACTATTCCAGAGATCGAATTTGGTGATCTCTGAATTTTGGTACGGTTCTGGAATTTCTCAATCTTCGAACCGTACCGACCTATGCTCACTCCTATTTCCAGATGTACAATTCTGGTGACAAAAGCAGTTTCCGGCAAACATGTGCGAAATATGAATGCAAAAGAAAAAGACCATTATAGGTTTAATTCTTTCTCGGCCATGCATCTCGAGAAATTCAAGAAGCCAAGAGCGAGCCTATACTGGAGTAAATTCAGAGTCTGACAACAGATAATTTAATCAATGAAAAGGACGAAGAGCCCTATTTATATACACAAACTAGAAGAATAATAATCATCAAATCCCTTAATTGTGAATAGAATATATTATTTCCTTAAAGGACTATATTGTATATACACAATATACACTAACACTCCCCAAAAGCTCAAGCTGGAGCATATACATTGATTATGCCCAGCTTGTTACAAATGTTATCAATTCGTACTCCATTTAAAGCCTTCGTAAATATGTCTCCCAATGGTCTGCTGAATTGACAAGCTCTATAATGATGAACCGTTTTTCGATCTTGCCACAAATAAAATGACAATCAACTTTGATGTGTTTAGCCCGTTCGTGAAACATGGGGTTCAATATGAAGAGCATATCACACCAAAGCTTTGATGGGACAGTTCAAAGCCGCCATCAACTTGATCATCATACAACCTCACAAATTGCAGCTGCCATGGCCTAATATTTGGCTTCAGCAACCGATCTAAATACTACACTTTGCTTCTTAATTTGCCAAGAAGCTAAATTTCCCCCAACAAAAATGTTGTAACTTGAAGTTGATATTCTATCATCTTTGCAGCTCGCATAATCCGCATCAAAGAAAGCATTCTACTCTAGATTGACCATGAGTCGTACTATAATCCACGTCTCTCCAATAGATAACATAAAATTTGCTCCAGGAGAGTCAAGTGATTTACAATGGGTGATGACATAAAGCAGCTCGCGACACTCACCCGAAGGCAATGTCAAGGCGGGTTACGCGTTAGGGTTGTAACCAAATCGAATCAAAGCGAATACTAAGATATTTGATTCGAATTCGTTAAAATATTCGAAGATTCGAATTTGTATTCGATTCGTTAACGAACTCATTTTTTTATTTGTATTCGATTCGTTTAGGATATTCAAACATATTCTATTCGATTCGAAATTCGTTTTCAAGAAAATATTATAATTACAAAATAATTTTTATTTTTTCATATATTTTTAGGGAAAATTTTTTATTTAGGATGTTTTTATTTTTATGTCATAAAAATATTAGGAATATAACAATATCTATATTAATATATATAATTATTAGCTGATACATTTAATAAAACATTTAATAAAACTTATTTTCATTTCCCTCCAAAAAAAGTTACATTTTTTTTTAATTAATTACTCACTAATCTGCTAAAACCGTTACACCTTAATATATATATTTTTATTATTTATTTTTTTGGATCAGGTAGCAAAATATTCAAATGTGTAACGGCTAATGTTCGAAAAATGTGTAACCGTTACACATTCAGAGCTGTAATCGCTATATTTGGTTGCATTGTTGGAAGAAAAATATGATTGGCACATATATAAACAAAAACGTGTTTTATATCTATGCAAATGCACAAAATCAAATACTAGTATATATATATATTTATATATATATATATATATTTATATATATATATATATATATATATTATAAACAAAATGTATACTATATAAATTATTTATATAGTTACTGTTAACGAATCAAATATTCGAATTTCGAATCGAATATCTACAAATTCGAATTCGGATTCTTTTAAACTTTCGAATATAAAACATTATTCATATTCGAATTCGAATATCAAATCGAATTAAAAAAAATGATTTGTTTACAAGCCTATTACGCGTGTTACAGTGAGATAATTCAATTTCTCTCCCAACAAGTCTTCGATATCTTTTAAGATCATGAAACAGTTCCTACCCCCTTACCCCTTTTTACCCCCTTACCCCTTCTTCTGGACACGTGTTAGGTATAATTCGGGTAATGCACAATTTCACCCCTAACTTCCCTGTAAGCCTTGGCACATTTTTTTTAAAAAAAAAATATCATAAACACCAATAATTTTTTTTATTTATGTTAATTTTCTTAATATATGCCACAATTATATAAATTATTTTATTCATGTTACTAATGTAAACGTTGCATGGTTAATAAAAAAAAAAACTTAAGAAAAAGTAATAATTTTTATATAATAGAAGTACATGTCTAATTAATAAATACAAACAAAAACGTGTTTTATTTTATATCTATGCAAATATATTATATAAAATTATTTTAAAATAAAATTCAAATAAAAAATTGAAAACTTACATTTATTTAGTGTTTAATTAAATACTTATATAAAATAACTAAAAAAATCATTTATATATAATTTGAAATATATTATTTTATTTTTATATATTATTAAAAATATATTATTTTTTATATATTAAGAATATATTTCTTAAAAAACATATTGTTAAAAATATATTATTATATAATATTAAAAATATATTACTTTCTATTTTTATATATTATTAAAAATATATTATTTTAAAAAATAAAATTCAAATAAAAATATTGAAAACTTACTTTTAATTAAAAAATAAAAAAATATATATTATTAAAAATATATTACTTTTTATTTTTATATATTATTAAAAACATATTATTTTTAATATATTAAAAATATATTACTTTTAAGAATATATTATTTTTATATATAATTTAAAAAATATTTTAATTTTTATATATTTTTAAAAATATATTATTTATTATATCAAGAAAATATATTGTTTTTTTTTATATATGATTAAAAAAATCATTTATTTATAATTTATTAAAAATATATTATTTAAAAAAAAAAAAAAAAAAACTTCTATTTATTTTTATAATAAACAATGATAATGTCATTCCATTCAGGTCTTATTCCTTCAGCATACCAAACGCATCAATGACAAAACTTGTTTCATTCCATTCCAATAATCATTCCATTCTTCAATTCATTCCATTCCTACGAAATTCCATTCCATTCCCATAATCATTTCATTCTAGTTGTCGATAGAATATATTATTTCCTAAAAGGACTATCCATATTTACACAATATACACCAACAACAAGAAACTAGAAGAGAAGTAAAGTCTAATATTCAGGATAAATCTTCTGTACTAAAATACAAACCAAAATCAATCGCAGCAAAGGGTCTTTGCTCAAAACATCTATTTCGAATGTGATGGTATTCTGGACAAATTCCCTATTTAATGATGCTTCTTCAATTCAACATAAGAAATGTAAATTTAAAATGAATGCTCTTACTAAACAAAAAAAGTACTTACGGTTAATTTTTGTGCGCGCATAGCCAGATCTAGGAGGTCGCTTCTTGTGTACAGAAGGAACCTGCAAGATTGCTGCACCAAGTATATAGAAAATCAACCGATCAGATTTCAATAAAAACAAAGAATTAATCCCTCAATATTCACATCACTAGCTGTACTTGATATCAGAAGATTCATTTAAAAGCACTTTAAATAAAAAAGTAATATCTATCTTAAATTTTTGGATATCCATCCTATGATAAAACTGAAACCATACATAATCCAGGTCCTTGATGTTGACGCTTGTTAAGTTGTAATTGAAAAATGATTAAAATGTAGACTATACAAATTGATATAGTAAATTTGATAATACGAATGAGAAGAGCAGGGTAACACAAATAATATTCACTAGAAATGCCAATGATGACACCAGTCATACATGATAATTCACAAAAGCTAATGCCTAATCTATTATTATATAAAGAGACAATCCAAAAATCCCTGAAATAGTAACTAAAAAATAATTAGGATTCCCACCTAAAAATTTACTGAACATAGTATTTTTTTTATTTTTTTTTTGAAAATTTTTGGAAAAGCATATCTATTATCTATTATTATATAAAGAGACAACCCAAAAAACCATGAAATAGTAACTAAAAAATAATAAGGATTCCCGCCTAAAAATTTACTAAACATAGTAATTTGTTTTTGAAAATTTTCGGAAATCCTGCCTAAGCATATTTGAAAATTTCGGTGGTAAATTTAAATTCAAATATTTAAGTAAAGGATTGACTGTAGAGTTTTTCGGGTATATTCCATCTTTATCTTAAGTTCCATATAATATGTTCATTGTGACTGAACATTATTTTATTCGTATTTTCAGTCGCTCAGCACAGCCGCTGCTACCAAGAGTTATAAATATTAATAACGACATTGTATGACAATTAATTTTAGTATAAAATAGTACTAGAGTATTATGATGAATAAAAATAAATAAAATTATTGTTATTATATTTTTTTGGTATAAAAAATTACATAAAGGTGTTAAAATATTATTTTTATCAATATAAATGGGTCAGCAGGCTAATATATTATTAAAATAAAATTTTAAAAAAATGGTTTAAGGTACAAAACCACATATAAATGGGTCAGCAGGCTAATATATTATTAAAATAAAATTTTAAAAAAATGGTTTAAGGTACAAAACCACCCGTGCATCGCACGGGATGCTATCCTGACTTGTGATCAAATAAAAGATACTAAATACAGTAAAGAGAAGCAGAAATACATGCAGGTACTTACTATATGTTCCATCTTGTCCGCGAAACCACTGCCTTGAAAAGACAAAGTCCCTTTTTGATTTCCACCTGCACACAAGTAAAAAAAATCATCTGAGTGATGACGAGTAATATAGAAATACAGGAAATAAAGAAGCGTCATCTCTTTATCAGTACCAAAAATCCAAATGACACCAAGCATAGCTTTTAAATGCTAATCGAAGTTTAAAGTATAATTGTTGATTGACATATAACTAATTGGCATAGTAAAGCACCATAGAGTGCATGGTACCATACTGCATGAACTCACTCCTTGTAATAAACCGAATTTACTTCAGAGGAAGTATGGGTTGTCAGTTGTCACCAAGAAAGTTGGAACGTAAGTGTAAATGCAATCATATTTTTGGCAAGCTGGGCAAATAGGGAGTTTTCACATATATTGCTGATAGATATAAAATGAGCGATGAACACAAGATGCAGACCTACATAGAGAGAATACAGATTGACAATCATAACTGAGAAGATAGAATTTATTACTAATCTAAACTTTTTTGTCTGAACCCAAATGTCCAAGGAAAATATAGTTTATCTTTTTACTTCACGCAGTTACCTATTACCTAATCATGAAATAGTTTGAAACAAAACTGCCAATTTTGATAATTAAGAAGCTACACCACCATTCATAAACAAACATAATCTAGCAATCATTTGATGAAGCCATACAAACAGAACATGCAATGAAAAAATAGTTTCGGCCCGCTCTTACTAACCAAATCGCTCACGCTTCAGTTTGTAAAAGACATGCAAAGTGCACGCAGAGCTGCTACTGCATGGTAAATGAAAGTTTACGAAGACGGTCACAGCCTTAAGAAGAATTGCTGATTTTGTATATAAAAGATTCCACAACACCGTGTAAAAACTCTATTTGCACCATGACCACTACCCACTCTTTTGGTACCACAAGGAAAATTGCATGCAATGGATAATTTCAACATAAAATACTACCAAGTTAGGTAACGTGGATCAAATATCCCATAGACGACGTCGTAGTGTCCATTTAGAGAATCAATCAACTCCAAGTCACCTGTCAAAGAATCCCACCTGTAATGAACCATTAGATGCCTTTGTTGTAAGAGCAATGACAAAGAAAAAGATGCTGAGGGGATGCTTGGATACAAATCTATCCAAAAAAATCCAATCATTTTTAACCAATCACTCATTTCAACTCAAACTTAACTTTAACTAAACTCCACTATCCTCAATATTATCATTATAATAAAATATATCACTAAACTCCACTATCCTCAATATTATCATTATAATAAAATATATCAATCGTTCTTACACATTACATCAACTGTAATTTACTATTCATCCACTCACATAATTTTAACTAACCATCACTTCATGCCATCTCTCTCATACTTTTACATAAAATCAACTTTAATTATTTTATTTAAAATATTATTTTAATATCAACTAAAAATCTCACTAACAACTAATCATACCATTTGTTTCAAAACTAACCATACCAAACCAAAAAATCCAATCAAAATAAAACCAAAAAACTTTATATCCAAGCATCCCCTGAGCTACTCACTCGTATCTCCTGTGTCGGTCAGTACTCAACACTTCTTCAAACACAGTATCTGCACTTGCTTCAACCACACCAACAGCTTTGACCAGTATGCCTTTACCATTCTACAACATAAAATAGACATTGGCAGAAACTATTACAGAACACATCTTCAATCAGGAGTTGTATTTCACCAATCAAAGGAAGTAAACATGATGGTATTGCAGGCATTCATACATGAATGCATATTCTCGGATACCAAATGACAGTAAAAAATCAGACAGTTTAAATGAAGTACATTATCTCTAACTCTTTTACGAGGATTAACTTGAGCCTTAAAATGTTTACTTCAATAGCTCCAGTGGTGTTTGAAAATGAAAACTCTCAGTTTATGTCATGCTACCTTTTTTAAGACCGATCTAAGGCATCTGTGATTGATGGAAAGGTGTCTGCAACCTAATGTGTCAGCATCTTTAAAAAATAAATCAAAAGAAACTGCAGTAGGTCTTTTTGCAAGATATATATTACTAGAGGTTTTAGAGAGAAAGGAGAGTTCACAAGTTCTCTACACACCATTAATAAACAAGATGTTAAGGAAAACTAAAAGGAAAAAAAAAAAAAAAAAGATAGATAGTTTCTAAACTGTGGAATAATAGGGAACTAAGGAAAAGATTCAAACAAAACTCAAACTAAGACTAGAATTCAATGATGACATCATTCAATTTCAAACTGAAAATACGGTGGTTCATGGAGATAATAAAGTTTCACTTCAGAAAGATAGCAAAATCACATCTATGATGCGTCAAGGGACTGCAGAGGTTAATATGTCAGCAAAAAGAATTTGAGCAATGAACTACCTTTGAGCTGGCCACATCTTCAAATATCCTCACACCTGAAACGCACAAGGGTGTCAGAACAAAGATATGTCAATCATCATCTAATGCCTGAAGTAAAATTTTAAATAAAAACATAAAATATTGAAGAGTGACGTTAATCCATTTAAGCTAATAAAATTTTAGTGTTTTGGCAGGCAGTAAGTAACTAACCATGTCATAAATTCTATAATACATTAGGCAACAATAGATATTGGATCATTTCATAAATTCTATATTACATTCGGTAACAATAGATATCAGACACTTAGAGTGGTCTACCAAAGTCCATATGCAATAAGTGACGCCAAGGCAACGTGTCACAGCATACGGCCTGATGGCCTGGGTGATAAAAAGTAAAGTCCTTGGCACACGAAGCGAAAAACCAGTTCCAGAAGTCAAATAGTCAATATTATTTACAAACATCCCAAATCATAATGCAACCTCAGATAGGTTTTCTTATTGAAGAGGGCTGTTTTGTGATTTTGGCTTCCTTTGTGAAGAATAGGCCTTCTTTTAAGAATAGTATCAATTTCTAGCAAGCCTAGGATGGGGTATTAACTAGGCTGTAGGCTCTTCAAATGGAATCCCTTCTATTCCACAGATACTGCATGATTTCCATATCAGTTTCATTTCTGAAGGTATCTCTCTCTCTCTCATTATCAACTTTCTCCATTTGTTTCTAGCACAACTGTAACAAAAGTTCAACCGACAGACAAAAAGAAACACTCTTTCCTCATTCTCAATAATGATACTGATGCCACATTCCTTCTTCATGGAGGTTCACTATGTCCTTCTCTAAGTTTCAACATCCTCACCACCAACCACCACCGAGATGATGAAATTTTATGGGGTCAAAATTGCATTCTATCTTCCCATCTCTTGCCCACTCCGTCCCCACACCCTCCCCCAAATGATGTTGAGGATACGTCCATTCACCACTTACCACATTTGAAAATGGTTAAGCAGTGCATTAGAGAACCAGAGATTTCATCAAATTTAGAAGCCCGCTGAACAAGGAAGTCATGCTAAGCCCATACGAACTCCAATATTTTTAACTTCAATTTAAATACAAAAGAAACTGCTAAAACCGGCCTTATAACCAAATTCAATTCAAAACGAGAGCATTTCTTGAATACTGTGATTAGATAGACAGCCATAAAACAAATAACAAATAAGAAAATGACCACACTATTGATTATCAAAATCTTAGTGATGGGCAGTTGAAAGCATACCATTAACTGTACGGACACATCTCCATTCATGTGCTTCGACAACATCCCCCCCTTCTGCATCAAAATATGCTTCTAGTCTATTCTCAGCACCTAAGCTCGATGCTTTGCGCAAAAGCATTTCCGGCCCTAAGAACAACACCATAAAATGCAAAACTTGAGGATTGCACCAACTTAAGCAACATACAACCATAACATTTAACAAGGTGTAATGAAATAAAACATTGACATAATATAATGCATATAATACATAAACATATGCATATATTATATCTAATATAATATAATATTATAGTATAATATATGTATATATATATATATAGAGAGAGAGAGATGTATATATATTGACACATTCAACTACACAGATAAAGACGAACTTAAATTGCATATAGTATTAAATAGCATTAAGGTACCAAAGTTTAGTCTCAAAAATGCGATCCAACAGCACATTTTATACAAATTCAAAACAAAAAAGCTCATGATCCCAAGAAAATAGCTCACTGCAGTGCCAGATACATAAAAAACAATAGAAGCAACCAAACTGCCCAACAAACAGTTATTTTCAATAAGCCGGCATGCAGTTTTGTCTTTTCTGTTACCATATATTATGTGGTTTCTCCATACATACACAAATAAGAAAAAATGATTCATTATATTGTCTGTGCATTGACAATAGATGGTAAAGATAAATCTCAATCAATAACCCAAATAAGATCCTATCAAAGAAAAGCTCCCAACCTTGTCCTATCTTAACTAGCCTTTTCAAACCATGGGCGTAACGACGTACTCTGGGACGATGTCCCTCCAGGTCAATCCTTCAAAAACAAAATAGGATATAAAAAATCTCAAGAATTGATTGCCTGCATATAAGTGTAAACAGGAATAATCATACTCTTAGAATAAAAAAGGTCAACCGGTACTACACATACACAAAGCAGAGCCTGCACGTGTATACAAGTATCACACTTGGTGAAGAGTACTCAAACATGTTGCATAAAAGGTGATGAACATCATGAGATAATTATAGAAAGAAGTCCAAATATCTATATGCATCAATTGATCAAAGTTCGTCTTATAAAGAAACATCATCAAATTGTCTGGCAATTCAATTATCAACAGAAGAAAGTAAATTAAATTCCTCAGTTCTTATTGGTGGCAAAATATTAATAAAGAGATCTGAACATACTCATCCTCCATGTTCAGCTTATTTCTCACACCACCACCTCTTGAAAGCTCGTATTCAACCTACAATTGAACAATACAAAGGAGACGTTCAAGCAGTTCAAAAGTGTGAAATAAAAAATCTGAAATATCCCTTTATCACGACGGTAGTAAGGTACTACAGTTTGCCATCTAAAACTATTTAGTCAAAGGTAAACCGAAGCATGAAGTGCTTAGGTGGATTATCTGGTTGCAGCTTGCAAGTCAATATTACTGGCAAACCAGCACTGTGCCAGCCACCAAGTTAACTTTTCTCTCTATCTCCATTTTTTTTTTCAAAAAATATGTTACGCATATTTAATGAATCACTAAGTCAATGTTGTCCAAGAGCCCATGTTTTGCAGGAATGCAGAACATCAAGGCCTTATGGAACTATGGATGTGATCGTGCGCCAATGAACAATATAAAGCTAAGGTTAAGATGGTCGTGGATGGAAAAAGAACAAAGTCCATTCCAGATGGATTGTTTAAGGAAAATAAATTTTCCAATCCAATCCACGAAAAGTAAAGGAAAAACACATGCGACAATATGACATTTTCTACTTACCTGTTGTTTAGCATGATCAAATGCTTCCATCCATTTCCGGGCATCACCAGCAGTAGCACAAGCAATCTTGCAGCATTTGAAGGAGTTTTAAAATGTACACATCTCATAGCAGATGATAACTCATAATCATAAGCTTAACAAATATGTAGAAAGTTGAGCAGTGCATTAAGCGGAATCACATATATTTACTCTGGACTTGAGTACTTCAAAGAATAATGCTCCATCATAATAGGAAATCTTATGAAGAGCTTGCACTTGATATCACAAACAGACGAATAGTTCTACAGAAACTTTAATAATTTGTTAAAGATCACCACAGCATATGTTTGCCACTATCTTGAACAAGGTTTTAGGCTGCGATTGGAAACTAGTTTTATCTGATTTAAAATTTTAAAACCTTTAAAACCAGATAATTCTTTTACACTTTTTAACTCAAATTAACTCAACTCAAACTCTCCTCAATATTCCCAATATAATTAAACAATATAGTCGTTCATTTTCACACATCACATCAACTTTACTTCACTATTCATCCACTCGCATATTTTTAACTACTCATCACTTCCATTTACTTTTCTCCTACTTCTACATCACATCAACTTTAATCATACAGTTTAAATATTATTTTACACACAAACTCCAAATCTCCACTCAATCAACTTTATTCAAAATTAACTCACTTTATTCAACAAATCAAATCAAATCAAATCTAAAATTATTTATTCGCAATCGTGGCCTTAGCCTTTTGGCTCCTCCCCAAAACATTAATTCTCAAAATGTATAATTTATCCACCTTGGAGAAATGAAAAAGAACATAGTTGTCGGATATAGTACACATACTCCAGAACCATTGTGAATTTTTAGGAAACACTTAGATTAGCGTCTCTAACCCAAATAGAAAATAGAATTAGGAATCAAGCTGGTAGCCAGGTATCACTTCAGAAGCAAAATCATAATGAATATCAGAAAAGACTACAGCATCTCATCAAATCAACATAGTTCAAGTTTCTTCAGAAGATCAAATACATTGGGATTAGTGCTTACCTCTCCCTTCTTCGTTTCATCCAAGCGATTGTAGAACCGTAGCACATATACATCCTGCAAATTGATTACAATCGTTATCCTTAAATGAACATAAATGTTCCAAGCACTTTACTGTGTTAACTACAAAATTAAGTAGATGTGAAAAGACGGCATAGAAAACTATTAGGACATTTCAGATTACGAGGAAAAA